AAAAAAAAAAAAAAAAAGAAAAAGAAAAGAAAGAAAGTTGCCCTGGAACTGACAGCGTAAGTCCTCATGCATTTCTTCTCCCTTCTTCCCACAGGGTGAAAGAAAGTACTACTTCAATACTGCTGCTAAGCCTACGTGATTGATCATTCTAAGGTCTTTACAAGAATTTGGCTTGCCTTTAGCATTGGGCTTGTGTGTCCATCTGCCTGTCTCTCTAGGAATTTAGATTTTCATTCAAAGATTTTTCTGTCACTGAGAATTTAATTTCTGGTGTATTTTTAAGAGTGTAAATTTCTTTTCAAGATTTAAAACAATAAGCTTCAAATTTTAGATTATATCTAGAGTCTTCCACACTGAGGATGTGAAGATGATATAGACTAGCTGTTCACCAGGCTGACCAGGTTGACTGCCAGATGGGTTGTTGGTAGTGCCAGAGGCACCCTGACATCACTCTCTGAACTGCTTTCTCTTTCACATTCTTGTATTTTTCCAGCTGACGGCCCAGAGGGTGGGTGCCAATTCCACCAGCAGCTGCAACTGAAAAGCAAGGTTCAGAAATGTCAGATATCCTCCGGGAACTGCTCTGTGTCTCTGAGAAGGCTGCTAACATTGCCCGGGCATGCAGGCAGCAGGAGGCCCTCTTCCAGCTGTTGATTGAAGAAAAGAAAGAGGAAGAAAAGAACAAGAAGTTTGCAGTTGACTTCAAGACGCTGGCTGATGTACTGGTACAGGAAGTTATAAAACAGAATATGGAGAACAAGGTAAGAAAGGTCACAGCTAAGGTAATTGCAAAATAGTTGCATCTGTGGCTTTCCCCGTCATAAAATAGCATGCCTTTTACACCTCACCTCTATCATTGTACTAGCACCTTGAATTCAGGTAGACATCCTGGATTTCTTTCCTCCTTGTCATGATTACAATATTGATAAAATGTTCATTGCAGGAAATCTTTAAAATACAGAAAATCAAATAAGAAAATAAAAATCACTCACAATTCTAATACCTAGAAATATACACTTCAGTATAGAACCTTTCATTTACTAATGAATTTCTTTTTAATAAATAATACATATTTTCTGGAAAATAAGCAAAAATAAGAACCCTTTTAGTCCCACCACTGGAGAAAACCACAGCTGTGCTTTGCTAAATATTATAACATTTTCCTTCTGTGTGTATGTGTGTACATGACCCATACAATGTATTGCAACAGAAATGACAGCACACTGCTTTGTAACCGGTTTTTTTTTTTTTTTTTAACTTGATATATTAAGTTCTACCTTGTGGCTCTCATCATTTATATAATGGTTGCTTCAGTTATGAGATTGTACCTGGAGACTTAAAGTCTCCTTTATTCTAGTAGAAAAATATTGTTCTTTGTTATAAACATATAAACATGTTAATATGTTAATATAACAATGATTGCGACTCTAACTTTCTGGAGCTGACTAAAGAAAGAAACTGTGTCAATAAATAGAAATAATAATACTAGCAGCACTTATAAACGCTATGTGCCAGCCACTATTCTAAAGTCTTTAAATAAATTAACTTATTTAGCTCTTATAACAATTTGATGAAGTAAGAACTACTGTTACAATGTAATGGGTGAAAGAAGGGAGGCACAGAGAGGTTAAGTAACTTGCCTAAGGTTACACAGCAAGTAAATGGTAGGACCAGTTTTTGAACACAGTAAGACTGACTCCAGAGTCTGCATTCTTTGCAATATTATATTGCCTTTTATATGATAATGTAACCATTACATTTGGGAGAATAGAACTTTATGGCAGAAAGCATTATAAAATATTGGAATAATTTCTATGAAATTTTCAAAATATTGAGAACCATTTAGAATCGTTTAAGTGAAATCTTGACCACAGGTGAAGAGACTAAATGCCATCATGAAATCTCTACAAACTATACTTTTTCATGTCATATGAAATCTGACTCCAATAAACTAAATGAAGCAAATTTATTTTTGTTTTTTACTTATCAATATAGTTGGGTGCAAGGGATGGTTGAGCAACTGGATTAAAAATGTATCAACATTAATTTTTATGGGCTAATATTTGCCTCAAAGCATTATAAAAAGTTCAGGCGGTTATTTGTTCATGAGCTAAAATAAATGATATTCCATTTTAACTGTATAAAATATCTTTATTTCATGAGCCTTTTGTCTTGTAGTCTCAGAACCGGTCTTTAAGCAGGCTTGGGAGACTTGAGTGTCAGCCCTTGATGAATGGGCTGGTTGCCAGCCCTTGTTGATTTGTACTGTTCCACAAAATAATATGAATACTAAGTGGTTGTGGGCATTATTAAAGCTATTTGTCATCTGCAAATGACCGAGTTCAAATATTTGAAGCATGTCCTTGCTTTTGTTCCCTGAGAACATCATGTGTATCAAATTTTAGCACACATTTTGAGAAAAATTATCTTTACTACAGAAAGGATTAGAAGCAAAATGTATCAGAAAGCTTCGTGATCATACAGAGATGACAGAAGATCCTTACTTGACTCCATTTATTCACTCTATATATTGATGCTTAAATTATTGGTCAATAAAATCTTTCTTTTTTTTCATATCCCCTTCCTAGCCTGAATGATGATACATCTGAGAGTAGGGAAACAAACGCCTGGAAATGAAAACAAAATTGAATGTTATCCTCTAACTCCTTCTATCCAGTCTCAAGTCATGCTTTTAGATACTTGATCAACAAAATTACCTTGTATAAGCTACTAGGATGCTGTTTAAGAGCAAGAGTTAAAACATGTCCTTTGTAAATATTGGAATTCTATGGCTCCTAAGTAGAAGGATGAAGTTTCTAGAAGTACTTTTGCAAACTAAACAGGACATAAGGGAACCAGGCATCTACCATGATTTTGACTTTCTAGAGGGGCAAAAGGGCAGAAAAATATTAGAAAATTAAGCACTGAGCCAAGCTGACTTCGTTTTTTTATACTTGGATTGGTTTCTAGAATTGGAAATTTTGGAATTTCAGTTCTGATTGTGCTATTTAATTTGAAATATAACATTGAAATCTGTTCAGAATTGAACATGTATATGGGTTTTTGTTTTATTTTTCATCATATTCTGAATCATTCAGTTTCCAGGCTTGGAAAAACATATTTTTGGAGAAGAATCCAATGAGTTTACTAATGATTTGGGTAAGTATAAGAATCTTAATGTGTCTTTGTAATTTAATTATCACATGGTATTCTAATCTCTAATTTATACCATGAACTAAATGTTTGGAAGCCACTTACTGTAAACAACATAATATATTTGAATGTTAAGGTTCATTAAATTTCTACCTCAGAATGTCATGCCATTTAACTTAAGTAGAGAGATATGGTATCTTAGAATAATTTAGCAAGTCCATGTATCATTTTAGATATAAATCTGTGGCATTTAAGTAACTTATAACTCAAGCTTTGGGAAAATCGCATGGCCCTTTGGGAATCTAATGTAAGTTATCAAAGCCCCAAAGATGCCCATCTACACAATTGTGCAGACAATTTCAGATCCTAGGTTTAAACCCATCTGTGCACTCTTGGGGAAGTCCATGGACCTCAGCTAAAAGTTCAGAGGAGGCCATGGCTCTGAAATACTTACTGTGTGATCTTGAGCAAATCACCTCATCATTTCTGTCTCAGAACCTCTGTGAAGTACGTGGACTAACTAAAAGCTTCCTTTTAGTACTAAGTTTTTTGGTTTGTTTGTTTGTTTTTGAGACAGAGTTGCTCTGTTGTCCAGGCTGGAGTGCAGTGACACAATCTCAGCTCACTGCAACCTCCACTTCCTGGGTTCAAGGGATTCTCCTGCCTCGTCCTCCCAAGTGGCTGGGATTACAGGCGTGTGCCACCACACCCGGCTAATTTTTGTATTTTTAGTTAGAGATGAGATTTCACAGTGTTGGCCAGGCTGGTCTCAAACTCCTGACCTCAGGTAATCTGATTACTTTCAGAGAAACACTTTTTTTTTTTTTTTTTAGTTTGTTCGGATTTGTTTAATAGTAGAAGAATAAAATAGTGAACATTAAACACTGATCGTGTGACAAATACTTAAATATCTAGAAACACAATTACAAAGAAAAAATGAATTCTAGATTAACTCTGAAAATTTTTTAGTCTCCTTCATGCACCATATATTAAGATGTAGTTAGTTCTATGTTAGTAAGAAGGGAAAGAAATACCATTTAAACCTCTGAAGGTTAAAAATAACACTTACACCTGACTTACAAGCAATCTTACATTTAAAAATCTACACTTGACTACTGCACAGTTTTTTTTAATACATCATTTGTCTAGAATTATAGGGGGAAAAGGCATAGCCATATCCATTTTCCTGTTTGTTAAAAGGGCAGAGAAATGTGGAGAGGGGAAGAGGAGAGATGGCGATGATGATATTGCAGGCAAGACCAGATCATAGGAGGGGATTTAGATTTCCCTCTCAGTGGGATGAGAGGT